AAATGCTAAATTTGCTGAATTTTATGATGACCATGGCATAGATCATAATTTTTCTGCTCCTAGGACTCCACAACAAAATGGAGTAGTTGAAAGAAAGAATAAGACACTTGAAGATATGGCTAGGACTATGCTCCTTTCTAGTAAACTGCCTCATAGCTTCTGGGCAGAAACTGTAAATACAGCATGATACATCATAAATAGGTGCATGACTAGACCTCTTATAGAGAAGACTCCCTATGAGTTACTTAAAGGGAGAAAATCAAATATATCCCATCTTAGGGCATTTGGATGCAAGTGCTTTGTGCACAACAATGGTGAAGACTCCCTAGGCAAGTTTGATCCCAGAAGTGATGAGGGGGTATTCTTGGGTTATTCTTCACATAGTAAAGCTTATAAGGTCTATAACAAAAGAATTATGTGTGTTGAAGAAAGTATTCATGTGATTTTTGATGAAACTAACATTCTTTCTGAGAGACAGGAATATGATGACGAAGCAATTGGGCTGGTGAGAAACTCAAATGAAACGACAGCCCAGACTGAAGCTGCACTAGAGGAAGGAACAGGTGATAGAACGGGTTCTTTCACCCAGGGCAACATGACAGGGGGAATAGAACAAAGAGGAAATGATTCTCAAACCTCAAGGGAACCTGTCCATGAATCTGTTCCACAACAACAAAGCATTGAAGGAACATCAAAGGGAAACCAGTTGGTTGTAAAATCTTACAAGTATCAAAGTTCTCATCCCATTGAGAACATAATCACTGATCCAACCTCTGAATCAAAACCAGATCTTCATTAAAAAAAATCTTTGTGCTTTTGATGCCTTCTTATCTCTTATTGAACCTAAAAATATTGTTGATGCTTTGCAGGATACAGACTGGGTAAATGCAATGCAGGATGAATTTAACCAATTTGAAAGGAGTCAAGTTTGGCATCTGGTACCAAGACCCTTGGACAGATAAGTAATTAGCACAAAATGGGTCTTCAGAAATAAGCTTGATGAGGATGGAACAGTTACAAGGAACAAGGCAAGATTGGTGGTTCAAGGATATAGCCAAGAGGAGGGCATAGACTATGATGAAACCTTTGCTCCAGTTGCAAGGTTGGAAGCAATAAGACTCCTCATAGCCTTTGCTGCTTACATGAAATTCACCCTTCACCAGATGGATGTCAAGAGTGCCTTCCTTAATGGCTATCTAAAGGAAGAAGTGTTTGTCAAGCAACCTCCGGGGTTTGAATGCAAGGGGAGTCCTGATCATGTCAAACTTGACAAAGCACTTTATAGGCTCAAGCAGGCACCAAGAGCATGGTATGAAAGATTATCAAAGTTTTTTCTTGAGCATAACTACAAGAGAGGTAAAATTAACAATACTTTATTCTTGAAAGAAAAAGGTAAAGATCTCTTGGTAGTTCAAATATATATTGATGATATAATCTTTGGAGCAACTACAGATAAGTTAAGTAAAGAATTTGCTAAACTAATGGGGAGTGAATTTAAAATGAGCATGATGGGTGAGCTTAACTTCTTTTTAGGCTTACAAATTAAACAAAATTCAAATGGAACTATGATCCATCAGCAGAAGTATGTAAAAGAGTTGCTTAAAAGGTTTAAAATGGAAGATTCCAAAGAAATTGACACTCTTATTGCAACAGCTACAAAGTTGGATATAGATGAACCAGGTTCATCTGTTGATCAGAAGTTGTATAGGGGAATGATTGGCTCATTGTTATATCTCACTGCTAGTAGACCTGATATTATTTTCAGTGTAGGCCTTTGTGCATGATTTCAGGCAAATCCGAAGGAGTCTCACTTAACTGCTGTCAAGAGAATTTTGAAATATCTAAAAGGCACCACTAATCTTTGTCTTTGGTATCCAAAAGGTAGTAATTTTAATCTTGTAGGATATGCTGATTATGCATGTTTTCTTGTGGATAGAAAGAGAACCTCAGGTATGGTACACTTTCTTGTCTCATGTCTTATGTCTTGGGCCACCAAAAAGCAAAATTCAGTGGCCTTATCTACTGCTGAAGCTGAGTATGTTGTTGATGCCTTAAGTTGTGCTCAATTGTTATGGATCAAATAACAATTAATGGACTTTGGAATTAATGTTGGTTGTATCCCCATTTTTTGTGATAACACTAGTGCAATTAGTATGACCAAGAACCCGGTTCATCACAAGAGAACTAAGCACATAGATATTAGGCATCACTTTTTGAGAGATAACTATGAAAAAGGGTTGATCACTGTGGAATTTTGTGCTGCTGACAAGCAAATAGCTGACATCTTCATGAAAGCTCTAAGTAGAGATCACTTTGAAAGGAACGTATTAGAATTAGGGATGATTAAGATCACCTAAAAGGACCAGTTCAGAATTCACCACGAAAAAAAAATTTGAAAAAAAAATTATTTTTGGTTAGAAAATCTGAAAATGTGTATATAATTAGATTAATTTTTACTCAGACCCATACTTTCAATAGTATACTCTTGTGCCATGTGTTAAAATAACTAATTAATCTTTAATGATATTTTCTCTATTATGGCAAATTTAGACTTACACAAGAGAATTATCAGTGAAGAACCTGGTTCATCAAGATAACACGGTATATTTTCTACACTCTGCATAATTTGAAATAATAATATTTGGATCATGAGCAGAGTCCTACTTAATTCCAAACTCCTTTTGGAATTATCCGTTACAAGTGAACCAGTTCTGTTCAAAAGAGTCCCAACCGAATTAAAGTACCTAGATTCTAGGGATACACTCCAAAGTCTTTTCAATACTGAAATTCAGTTTGATTAAACTTTCATACTCACTATCATCCCTTCCACCACCCCAACCTCTAAGAAAAGAGTAAAGATGCTTGCTCGCAAGGTTGTTGCGGGGAGAGAACAACTCAAGAAAATAAATAAAAAAAATTGAAAGCGGGTAAGGAAGAAGAACCCCAGAAATCTAATGAATCTGCTACTGAGGGGGAAGAAACTGTTTCTTCTGAAATTGAACAGGCACAAATTTGGAGAATAGGTTTGTACTAGTAGGGTCTATGGCAGACGTTGAAAGTACTGAATCTGGAGAAGTTGGTGGTAAAAATGAAAAGGGAAAAGAAAAAAAGAGCAAGGTAGTTAAGAGTGTTGTGAGGGAAAAAAGTAAAAGAGTGGCTGATTCTTCACCCACTCCTGTTAGTTTAACCAAAAACACAGATGCAATGGTTGTTTGGGAAGAAAAATCTGCTGAAGTAGAGGAGAGTGTAAAGAAAACAGGGGAAAGTGGGTCTGGCAAAGCTGCTGAAGGGTTGGTTCAACTTGGGAAAAATAGAGATGAACCTGATTCATCTGTAGAGGAAACCCCTGCAGACCTACTGAAGAAAGTGGGGCTAAGGATGCTGAGATTGAGAGACTGGAGAAGAGGTTGGTAGAGGTGGAGACTGAGAGAGATGCTCTCAGAACTGAGCTGGCAAGAGAAAAGGAGAAGAATGATGGCATTTTTCAGGATATACTGAAACTCCTTCCAGCCAAAAACCAAGCACCTAGTTCTTCTCAGTCTTAAGCCTCCTAGCCTAGTGTAGATCAACCAGTGACCTAGTTCGGTATTTTTTGTTGTGTTTGCTTATGTTTTCAGTATATTTATTTCTTTTTATGCTTTGTGGAAGAATCGTATCAATTATCAATGAAATTCACTCTCTTCTACTCTAACTGTTTGTTTATATTTCCTTGATGGTTAAAATTCTTAGCTTGATCTATGATGATTAATCCATGAATGCATTTGAAATAGCCCCAATGGCCATGAGTACGTTTTAAAATCTGGGAATCACATTATTTTTTATGTAACTTTTCGATGATGCCAAAAGGGGGAAAAAGGTTGTGCTTTACACTTTGAACAATGATGTTTATAACCTAATGAACCTGGTCCTTGATGATAAGTGATAAAAAAAAAAAATTATTTTAACATTATATTGATGCTGTGCTAAGTTGAAACAGGGCCTAAGCTTATGAAAAGCACAGAGTTTGTCATCATCAAAATGGGGGAATTTGTTGGCCCAAGTGAAGTTTAGTTTTGAAGATTGACAAAGGAAGCTCAGGCATGAACTAGGTCCATCCCTTGTGTATATAGATACTGGCAGATTCGAGCATGTGGGATGCACGTGAAGGAGATAAACTTAATTTGGCATAATTGATATCTACTGATCGAAAAGGTTGCATAATTGATAAGGAGAAGGACTCCTTACTCAAAGAGAATATTATTCAAGATAAGGAAGGAGTTAGAAGTTGGGATCAACTAGAACTCTTCCACCAAGGAAGAGTAGCATTAGAACTCTAGTTATTTCTTCATCTACTAACTCTATATATTGCAGGATGTTCTCATTCTACAAGTAACGCACAAAAGCAGAAGTTAAACGTGAATTGAGAGCAAAATAGCAAGGCATTTTGCAAGCAGTTCATGTGTGATTCAAGTGTGCAAACCTGAAGCTACATGAACCAGATAGAAGAACCAGTTCCAAGCGTCTGTCTTTTATTCTAGTTCAATTGTAGTAGGTGCTTTCATATTGTACCTTTCAGCTTTATCTAGAGGCAATTGTAATAGGTACTCGGAGTATTCAAGTTAGAGTTAACTTGAAGTTGTCGTAACAGTTAGAGGTTGTGTGCCACAACGGGATTAGAGTTAATCCTAGGTTTACAAAAGTATTTTATAAATGCAGTTTTTGGCTCAGTGATTTAGTGAAGAGTTTTGAGAAAATTCTAATGGGAAGAAGGTCGTGATTTTTTCACCTTTTGAGCCAGGTGTTTTCCACGTAAAAATCCTTGTATTCTTTAAATTCTGCATTTATTATTCCGCAACAGTAGTATAAGGAACACATAGTGGAACCAGGTTCTTCTATAATCTGTGCACGTGAAAAATTGGACACCACACAAATTACCCTCTTGCGTGGTATCGAAGTTAAAACTTCAGTTAATCATCAAAATGGATATTGTCTTTGATTGAAGCTATCCGATGTATGCAAGAGACCACTAGGGCCTAAATTTAGTACAAAATTGCTAAATGCCTTTTTACTGCTACCTAATATAGGCTACTCTCTATACAACTCCAAGAAGTGGGGAGAAAAAAGAAGAATAAAAAGACTATGGACAAATCCCATAACCCAATTTTGTTGAAAGGGTTATGTGGAGTTTAATTAATTTAATTCAATCATGCCAACAAAGGAGCATGACCACACATCTCTTGATTATGTAAAGCCTGGCTCTCTGCTGCCTAAGAACTCCTCCGAGCCCTCTGCTTGAAATTAGCTTCCTCTTTGAACTTCCCAAATTGCTACTGCTCATCTTCATATTTTACTTAAATAAATAGTGGTGACGAAAATCAAGAAACTAAAAGGGTGTCTATAATAATTATTGGTATACAAAAAAGAGAGAACTTTGATTTTGTTGTTGGTTTTGTGCACAGAATATATATATATATATATATATTCCTACTTATTAGAAGAGGGAACACAGGCACCTCTCCGTCAACGTGTGTGTTCCCTTGAATATTTAACTTTGTCTGGGTATGTTTGTAATTTCATTAATTTACAGCTTAAGTGCTGACTCTTTCTGCCATTAGCCAACGCGTGGCCTCCCTATTCTTCAAACCTAAAACCTCCATTCAACACAACTTACTCCACATCTGTTTGCAATAACCAAAAATTACCGAAGGAAGCAAAGAGGACATCATCAATTGCCCCAAAATTTAGCAGACTTCACCTAATAATTCAACGAAATTACAACACTTAGCCTTTTCCGATTCTCATCTACCACAAAGAGCAGGTTTATTCCAATTAGTCCAGTATTTTATTTTATTTATGCTTTCTATTCTACTTTTTCTTCTTCCGTAAAAATATCAGATCTTTGGGGTTTTGGCTTGATTAGCAATATTTTCTTCATTTTACTCTTAAGATTTGTTTCAAAAAAGTGAAAACAAAGTGAGATTGGTTTCTGATTTGTTGTCTGTTTTTTAGTCCGGTATTTCATTTTATTTATGCTTTCTGTTCTACTTTTTCTTCTTCTGCAAAAATATCAGATCTTTGGGGTTTTGGCTTGATTAGCAATATTTTCTTCATTTTACTCTTAAGATTCGTTTAAGAAAAGTGAAAACAAAGTGAGATTGGTTTCTGATTTGTTGTCTGTTTTTATTAATTTATTTATTTTGCATTTCTTCTATGAATTCTAAATCCTCTTCATTTTTCCACTGCTATTCAACTTTCTTTAAAAGATTTCTCTTTAAAAGGCTGAACCCCAATGGGTTATTATATTTCTATTATTTAGCAGTAGAATAAACAATAAAATGTGTTACTTAGGGTCTACTGACGCTTTTTTTGGTTTGATTGTTATAAATGCAGTTATCTTGCGTTAATAAGCTTGTGAAACAATGTATTCCGGCCAAAGAAACAAACGGCCATATGCAGAACATACAAACTCTGACAAGAATATAAGAAGACGTGATATTTATGGACAAATATTGCCTGATAAAAAAGAGGCAATGTTACTACAACGCCGCACCAAAGAACTTGAACGGCAAAAATGGAATAGTTCGATAAAATCGGCAATTGATCCAGATGAAAAAGTAATGTATCAATGTTACCCTATGATTCGAAAACATACTGCTCTTATCATAAGAGAGCCTTCTTCTGCCGACGTCCAAGGTTAGACTGAATTATTGCTTTTTGTTTATGCTATGTTAGTGTAGCAGCAGACAGAAAAATATTCATATTTTACTAAGTAATTATTTTATAAGCAGAGCAGGCTATGACGTGTTTGATTGAATATATTAAATGTAAAATGTGTTTCATATTTGTTGCAGTTGGCAGCAACCATGATGTTAATACTTTCTCAAGTTCTTTTGATAAGGGAAAAAATACCGCTCATCCGTTTTCTGTATTTGAAAGAGTTAAACCTAGAACGTCTATGAACATGTTTCTTAGCACATCACGGCTTAGGTATACATCTAAATTGTGAGAAGTCGTGCCCCAGGATCAACATCGCGTGCATTTAAGGGACAACAAAATTTGTTCCCCGATGTNTTGTTCCCCGATGCCACAGGCAAAGGTTAGTATTTCTTTCACGCTAGAGTAACACTATTCATTAGTAGAATATTTTCCATGTCTTTATTTTTAACAATACTTACAACATACAGGTGATACCTTCACCAAATTAATCCATAAGAAAAATAATGACAAACATGTGGATTATGCACGATTAAAAGATGTTCCAAACTATAAATTTTGCAATGCAAAAAGGTTTCAATATGAACCCCCTGGATTTTGCTGTGGCAGCGGGTCAGTTAAGTTAGTTTCATATGACCTGCCTAATGAATTATCAGACTTGTACACAGGTAACACTGAAGAAGCTAAGCACTTTCGAACCTACATTAGAACATACAACAATATGTTTGCCTTTACGTCACTTGGTGTAACCAATGATAAAGATTTAGCGAGGAGATATCATGGTATATATACGTTTCGAGTTCAGGGACAAATGTATCGTTTTATACCTGATTTACTTCCTTTTGATAAAAAAGGAAAGAATATGCAATTATACTTTTATGATAACGAAAATGAACTTGCTAACATAATGGCTTGTTCGAGAAATATTAACGAATCAATTGTAAAAAGGCTTATGCATGTGCTCTCAATTAATCCATATTCCATTTTCTTAAAATCCTTGACAAACGTTCCGAAACTATCTGATTGCTATATCGCGCTTAAATGTGAACCAAAATCAGATCAACGTGTATATAATCTACCAACTACAACAGAGGTAGCTGGAATATGGGTACATGATAATGCTGTCGATATTGTTTTTATGCCTCATATTCATATTTACACACATAGTGACAAGACTCAATCAGTAAACTATTATTATGGATGTTATGATGCATTACAATATCCGTTATTATTTCCATACGGTCAAAACGGGTGGCATTGTGGTATTAAAAAAATTGTACGAACAGATCAACGTTATTGTAAAAATGAAGAATTACCGAGTGTAAAGAACATGTGTTCCATTGATGGATTTCTTGATATGGAAGCTCAAACTATGGAAAAAGGAAAATGAAAAAGAGAGACAGTTTCTTGTCGTGAGTATTATTGTTACAAATTTCAGATAAGAGAGGATGAAAAAAATGAGGTCCTACATTATGGAAGATTATTTCAACAATTCATAGTAGATGTGTTCATAAAGCTAGAAACACAAAGATTAGATTTTTATTTTTTTAATTAAGATTTGTTTCGAATGGATGTGCTACAAGGACTTATTGATTTTTTAAAACTTGGTGAAACAGAAGCTTCCAAGATTGGCAAGAAAACATTCATCCCTGTTACTTTCATGGGAGGGCCAAGAGATATGCGTCGACGGTATATGGATGCTATTGCATTAGTGCAACGATTTGGAAAACCTGATATTTTTTTAACTATGACATGTAATCCATCTTGGCCAGAAATAAAACAACACTTGTTATCAACAGATGAAACTCAAAATAAACCTGATTTAGTATCACGAGTATTCAGAGGAAAAGTAAAAGAATTAAAAGCAGATATCTTGAAAAAAAAAATCTTTGGAAAAGTTGCCGCTTTTATGTATACTATAGAATTTCAAAAACGTGGTCTTCCACATGCTCATTTTCTTATCATACTTACTGGTGAGTACAAATTGTTAGCACCTGAATCTTATGATAAGTTTGTTTGTGCGGAGTTGCCTGATTGTAATACTGAAGAGCACCTTTATTCACGTGTGCTTCAACATATGATGCACGGACCGTGTGGTGATTTAAATCCTACAAATTCATGTATGGGAAAAAGAGGGCTTTGTAAATTTAATTATCCAAAAGATTTTGCTGAGCAAACATCAAAAGGAAAAAATTCATATCCAATTTATAGAAGACGAAGCACAGGTAAACTAGTACATATAAGGGAACAATATTTGGACAATTCATGGGTTGTCCCGTACAATCCTTACTTACTTTGTAAGTTTGATTGTCATATGAATATTGAAGTTTGTTCTGATATTAAAGTTGTAAAATATATTTACAAATACATTTGCAAGGGACATGATAAAATTGCTTTCTGTATACATAACAATGAAGAAATAGATGAAATAAAAGAATATCGATCTGCTAGATGGGTAACACCCCCAGAAGCGGCATGGCGTTTATTTGGTTTTTCTATTAGTGAAATGACTCCGACTATTTATCATCTTCAATTACATTTAGAAGGGCACCAATTTATTTCTTTTAAAAGTAGTGAAACTGTGAATAGAATTTTAAATAATCCGATGATTAGAAAAACAATGTTGACTGAATTTTTTGCTATGAATAGAACTAATGAACATGCTATAGCTATGCAATTATTGTATAAGGAATTTCCAGAACATTTTTGTATGGTCTCCAGGATATAGAACGTGGACACGTCGGTAAAAACGTAACGTAATTGGACGTGTTGTAACATGTCATCCAACAGAAGGAGAGAGGTATTATCTCAGGTTATTATTGATGAACGTGAGAGGGCCTAAATCATATAAAGATCTTCGCACTGTTAGCGAGGTACCCTGTAGTACATTTAGAGAATCAGCAGAAAAAAGAAAATTATTATACTGTAGCAATAGTCTAATTGAATGTATGTTAGAGGCTGTTAGCTATCAAATGCCATATAGCTTGAGACGCTTATTTTCCACACTGTTAGTATATTGCAATCCTGCTGATCCAAAAAAATTATGGGAAATGTTTGAAGATTCAATGTCCGAAGACTTTAAACATTTCTTTGATTTTGAAGAAAAAGGTGTTCGGCATAAGGTTTTAAGCCATATCAATGATATCTTGCACTCTATGGGACACGACATAAATGAGTATAAGCTTATTCCAAAGAATATTAGAGCTTCCGAAACTGCAAAGGATGCAAAGGATATTCATTTTGAAAGAAATATAATTGTTAGTGAACAAGACTTACTTTTACCGAAGAGATTGAATGTTCAACAATTACGCTCATATAATACAATAATTGATAGAGTATTTTCTGAAAAACAAGGAACATTCTTCGTCGATGGTCCTGGAGGAACAGGTAAAACTTTTTTATACCGTGCATTATTAGCAACAATCCGGTCTCAAGGATTTATAGCTTTAGCAACTGCAACTTCTGGTGTGGCAGCTTCTATCCTTCCAGGAGGACGGACTGCTCACTCACGGTTCAAAATGCCTATTGATATAGATGATAATTTTCGTTGCAACATTAGTAAACAGAGTTTGCTGGTATGTCTAATTAGAGATGTGAAATTAATTGTATGGGATGAGGCATCAATGGCAAAAAAGAATATAATTGAAGCTCTTGATACACTTCTAAGAGATATTATGGATGTCGATACAATGTTTGGTGGTAAAGTTGTCGTATTTGGAGGTGACTTTAGACAAACTCTACCAGTTGTTCGAAATGGAAAAAAAAAAGATTTTATTTATGAAAGCTTATTGTATTCTGAAATTTGGAATAAGCTCGAGAAATTATGCCTATCTGAAAATATGCGCGCAAGAACAGATCCTTCTTTTTGTGAATATTTACTCCGAATTGGAAATGGAACAGAAAGAACTAACTGTGAAGACAAAATAGAGATTCCTGATTCTTTTGTTATTCCTTTTACGACCGAAGAAGAATCCTTAGATGCATTGTTTAGTGTAACTTATCCTGATTTGCGCGCATTTTCTCCTGATTCATCTATGATAACCTCTCGTGTTATTTTAACAACGAAGAATGACTTTGTAAATGAAATAAATAATATGTTGATCACTAAATTTTCACAAAGGTCTAAAACATTTGTTGCAGTAGATGAAACTATTGACCCGAACGATCAAAGCCAGTTTGAAGATTTTCTACATAGTTTAGATCCTCCTGGTTTACCGCCTTATAAGTTAACTTTAAAGAAAAATTGTCCTGTTATATTATTACGAAATCTAAATCCTTGCGAAGGTTTATGCAACGGTACATGGTTAACATGCTGTGACTTTAGAACACATGTCATAAGTGCTAAAATTAAAAGTGGTGATTTCAAAAATATACATGTATTTATTCCGAGAATACCATTGTTAACATCACAAGATGAAAAAATACCTGTTCAATTTAAGAGAACACAATTTCCCCTAAGATTGTGCTTTGCTATGACCATAAACAAAGCTCAAGGTCAAACATTAGATTTTGTTGGAATTTACTTACGTGAACCTATTTTTTCTCATGGTCAGCTTTATGTTGCTTTATCAAGAGCGAAAAGTTCAAACTGTGTTAAAATACTGATTCGACCATCTACAGCGGGCAGTACTGATGATCATTCAACATATAATGTGGTTTATGACGAAATTATTCAGAAAGCTTTCTCGTAGGAGACCTAATGATCTTTAGTTCAACAATGAAAAAACCAAGTTTTTAACTCCGCTTGTGTTTCGGTTACACAACTGCACCACAGCCGGTCCCAAGCCCGAAAAAAGGAGAAGGGTTTACTGTCTATCTATGCTTTACAATTCTAGAATGCATGATGATTAGTAAACCAGCATATATTGGATCTTCCAAAATCATTAAGGTATATCTGTTTTATGGTTCTTCTGAGTTACTTTATTACAAAAAAACATTTTCCATTGTATGCGCCTTTACTCGAACTTATTTCTTTTTACGATTCTTTATTTACAGAACAAAAATGTTGAGGTGGACAATATAGTGTGCACGTGAGGCATTGCCTCAGTAGCAAAAGTTTGTACTGCAATGTGTTTTCTTCCGTCAATCAATCCTATTTTATGGTGAGTATCCCTTCTACTATTTCTTGATTTATCTTTATCTGTATTTGTCTTGAGGACTCTCAAGTTTGTACTGCAATGTATTTTATTCCTTCAATCATATTTTCTGCTGGGTATCCCTTCTACCATCTCTTGATTCATCTTTATCTGTATTTGTCTTGAGGAATATTTGAGACAATTCTTGAACAAATACCATTTCTATTAAAGTTCTCTAGGTGTTTGAGAAAATTCTTCAATGAATTACCATATTT